AATCCTACAATTTTTTGTTTATAACGTAGTTTATACGGATTATTTTCAAAAAAATATACGTATTTTGGAAATGTTGAGTCGAATTAGTCTAGAATCGATTAATTTTATGAAAGAAAACCTTTCAAACAGCCGTAGTCCGTAAACTATGATTCCTACAAAATTGATTCATAAAGAACGGAACGTATCTACCGTCTTATAGGGGGATCTAATATATTTATTTTGTTTGTACAAAATAAAAAAATAATTTTTAACGATACAATAGTTTTCGTTAAGCTTAACATCGACTAAAATTCAACGCGAAGCGACACGCAACGGAGAAAAATTTCAACACGGGGTAGGTTAATGTATTTTTTCGTACACAACCGGTTATCCGAAACATCGATCTTCCGAACAACCCGTCCCCAATTGATTCGGATAATCGACGCTCTACTGTATTTAATTAAAATTGGTAGTCAACTCTTCTTTAATTAAACAATCAGTAAAACAACATGGAAGGGGTCATTTTTTATAAAACTCTTATGTATGAAGAGGAAGTTTTTAGCAAACCCAATATGGTTTCGACCAGCCTACAATGGAGCGGCACCCGGTACATCCTGCCAGGAAAAATTTGTAAGGGTTTTCGACAAGTCTGAGTTAAAGGTGTAGCCTATCTCTATGGAACACACAGATTCGATTCTGGGTGTCACAAAGAGGTAGGCTGCATCTTTAACGTTTGGCTATTGTATGGAAGGGTTAAAAACGTAAAAAAAACCCGGAAAATTTTACGTGGCCAGGGTGTTGGCCAGGCATGAACCGACGATTTCCATTCTTCAGTGGCTTTATCCACTCGGCTACTAGTGGGCGGCTTTTGCAATATGAATAACCTTCATAAAGAAATAGTATCCTGTCTACTATTAGAAGAAGATGCTGTAAATTATATAATTCTTCGTAGTTTTGTACTATAAGATTTGAATTTTGGGTCTGTCACAGGAAAACAAATGGGCACAAATGACATTGTTCCTTGTCTTGACCTAGATACTTGGATTAGTGATCTTGTTGGTTGGAGGCAGACGGGTTTATATATTGCTTCTTGGAGAATGCAAGATGGATTTCCATTTGTGCGATCGGTCTTCCTCGTCCGCTCGTCCGTTTAGTGTGCGCACGTCCATAACTTATAATACAGGCAGATTTTTCTTCGTTGCTTCGTTAGTTCGGCTATCTGTCCGCCTGCCCAAATATGTGCTTACCTTTAAAAAAGAGGAGGGCTTTCTAATCCAGCAGATTGTAGTTACCTTAGTGTAACGGTTATGAAGTTAGACTTTTAGAAAAAAAATGATTGCTTCATAATATCGTTATTGAAAATACCAAAGGAAAACGTAGAAAAAGAACGAATTTCAAGAAAGGCAACTTTCTTTCCTAGCTTTTCCTTGAAAGCTTTTGGACTTCTTCCATATTAATTAATGATATTTATCTTGCATAATAATGAAGCATATTATATGTAAATAAACCAGATGTTTTGATTAGTTATACATGTTATATTATTTCCTATTACAATCATCGTATATATAATACTTCTCTGAATTCCTGTTTGAACATTCTAGGAAAAAAAAAGTTACCTTAGATTGCAACAATTAAATTACAAAAATATTTAAAATCATATTACATAAAATATTCACGGAAATTTTAACGATTAAATAACATTGTTGAATGAAAATAATCGTTAAGTTTAATATTATATTATAGGCCTAAATGTTGCGAATTAAACTTAACGATTGTCTGTATTTTTCCCGTAGATAATCGTAAGTATTTTTATTAACTTAGCTCATATTTTAGAAGTCAGAATGATTTATTCTTTTATCGACTTCGCAATTTCCATATAACATTATTTATAGTAAACTTCCTGTTTATTCTAAAGGTGCTGCACACGAAACTTTTCAAGTTTTTTTTTTTTTTTTATTATAAAGAGGAAATATCTATTGAATAATTATGTAAATAACATATTACAGTACTTTTCCTCATATTATTTTATGTATATAACGTGCTTATGCCTACACACTATATAAAATACTCAATATATATACACTAGCAGATGAGTCCGGTGTTGCCCGAACAAAAAATAACTACAACAAAGATTAAAATTATTATAATATTTCGATCTTCTAACTCTTCTATTATATTATATTATAGTGTTTCATATGACTACAAAGGTTATCTTGCGTAAGGGTTTATCACACCGAGTGACCAATCTAACACATTTCAAAAATTCTTTCAATTGTATACAGTAGAGGAATAAAGAATTTTTTAAATGTGTTAGATTGGTCATTCGGTGTGATTAACCCTTCCGTAAAATAACCCATGTACCTATACAAGGTAGCTTCAAAAAATTCCTAGGGGTAGTCAATTAAAAGCGATGAGAAAAGGAACATGTAATGCATGTCTTAGCTAAACAGGTGAGGAATAGAGAAATATGTTCAAATAAATCTGT